AGCAGAGAATAGCCTGTTGTTGCCAGCACCCCAGGACATAAACCCTGGAGCTAGTGCATTAACCTGGCCCTAGGAAGCCCAAACTGGTACCCGCTGGTGTGCTCCCCTAACCCCATGGGGGAGGGCCGTGCCCAAGGCCTGCTCCTACAACCTGCCATAACTGGTACGTGGCCAACTGCTCTTCCTTCGGCAGATGTGCACTCCTCCTCTCACAGGCAGCATTCTAGGCCAGGGGACATCACCAGTGAGGAGGCGTGGTGCAGGATAGGAGGCCAGGGAGACCGCCCGAATAAGCCACTGTTCTTACCCAGGCTAGAGCGATGGCCTGGCCACTGCCCGCTGCTGCTGATTTGCCTCCGTTGGTGCCTGCGAGACATTTGTCTCAGTCTCCTCAGTTCAGCTCAGGCCAACAGCTTTGCGAGATGGGCTCACAAAGCGGCTCTCCCTCCTCTCCAAGGTTTCAGAGACGCCCCTCCCTGCCAGGGCTGGGCTGCCTGGGAAAACCAACCCCGGCCGCCTGATGGAATGGTCCTACCCCAGCATGATTTGGAAAGTTGTCTTGCCCGGCCAGGTGTGGCTCAGCGGTTGAGCGTTGACCTAGGATCCAGGCAATCGGGGTTCGATTCCCGGTCAGGGCACATGCCCAGTTTGTGGGCTCAATCAATGACCCTCTCATCATTGATGTTTCTCTCTCTCTCTCTCTCTCTCTCTCTCTCTCTCTCTCCCCTTTCCTCTCTCTGAAATTAATAAAAAAGGTATGTAAAAAAAAAAGAAAGTTGTCTTGATTGGCTATCTGCTTTATATATTCTGATACTGGTACGTATAAGCTTGATATTCCTTTGCTGTGTGTTATATTGTTGCTGTAAAATAAAAATGCAGTGTCTCACCCATACTTCTCCCTCCCCAGGGTACATACGGGCAGATTGGACGGGAGCGGGAAGGGACCGTACCCACGTGGGGATGGACTGTGTGGTGAATGGGAACAAGCACCCCGCCCCTGCTCCGACTCCCCCTCCCAGCCTGCGGGAGCCTGGCCAGCTCCTCAGTCAAGAAAACAGCTAGCTGTGTTGATCTCACCCAGCTGAGAAAACACATCCCCCTCCCTGCATGCTCAGTTTTTCTGTTTTCTGTAAAACCTTGTGATGGGAAAGTCTGGATGGCCGCGAAACAATAGCACCCACTGGCTGCCCCCCCCCCC